TCCCCTCTAATTGTCTGCCTCCGCAGAGTGAAATTAAAAATAAATGAGTTATTCAATGAAGGCACTTGTTTCTGAGTTCGGGCTTTCAAACGTCACAGCAGAGAAGCCTTTTTTCCCCCTCTGAGGGATCTAATAGTCTGTGAGTGAGTTTTTTGATAATTGTGCTATTTTTGGGGCTTATTATATTCTCTGTAATTGAACCAGATGTTGAGTCTCCTCTAGAGGAGAAGGATCTTCTGAGTCTGTGTAGTGCTGTATCAGTCTTGCATCCCAAAAGGTTTGAGGTTAATGTGAAAATGAAATAGTAAGGCAGATGCTGTATGTAGTGTTGCTGTAGGCGGGTAATCCCTTTTGGACCAAAACACAAAAAATGTGCAACTCACAGCTGCATACTAGGTGTAACAAATGGTTGGATGATAAATTGTTGTAGGATTTTTTTGACAGCCAGTCAAAATCCAGCTCTTCGTACGCAGAGCGATATTTGCTATTACGGTAGTGCTGCAATGATAAAAATAGTCCTTGAGTTCAGGAGGCTGAGGGCTGTAGGAGCAGCCTGCACTATTTCTGGGTGACTTACAGAAATGTTGTGGAGGGGAAAACCCTCCACTGCGTATGTTTCAGCTAATCAGCTGTGCTGGTTTCTCATGCCTTTATATTGATATATCACTAGTACTAGCAATAATGATAACAATAATAACAATATATTAGTAATACACACAAGCATTGGTTCTATGTTAGGGTGAGGTATTGGGTATTTCTCATCCTTTGGTTTCCGCTGGAAAGAAGCCCTGCTGCATGTGTTGGAAGGTACCACAGTGGTTCCCAGTCCTGCCTCCCATTTCTTAGCCCCTCGCGTATACCAAAGAGTACTGGTGCCCTTGCAGTAACGGACTCATGCAGAACTAAGACTTCCCACCAGTCTTGAAGTGCTGCTGCTGTTTAAATAGACGAGAATCCAGAATGTGAGAATAACAGATGTATTCATCAGAATACTTTGTCTCCCATGGGCAATGGCTCAGTAATTTTCCTAGCCGCAGATAAATAATCCTTGATGAATTTTTCTTTTATGGGCTAGAACCCAAGCTTATTTGATTATATGTTTAAATGTCTAAACCCAGTTTTGTGCTAAACTCGTAAGGTATTTTATAGCATGAATTTAATGATTTTTAGTCTGGCTGCTCATACGTTACCCCTAAAATGAAGAATTAATTTTGTTGCCTTCTTTAGCATTTCTACTTATGCTGTGTGGTTAATTTTGTTTCATTTTAGCCCATCAGCTCATGGTTAAATATGTGTTTGGCAAAAATTCAGAGTCAGGATCCGTTAGCACATTCTGTCTTGTGAAGTGACTTCATATTCACATACTCAGAACTCGTCTTCTGAGATTGACCGTAGAGGTTGGGATGTGGGTTCTGGACTGTCTTGTGCATACTTACAAGTAGCAACACCATCTTGGTAACTATTACCTAGCCGTTACACCAGATAGTCAGAGCCAGTGTGTAACAAAACCAGAGTTTGTTCTAGTTTGATGCAAATAGTGTAAATTGTCAATGTATCCAAAAAGACGGAGAGCTGAGAAAGAAAAGTAGAGCGTATGTAGGGAGAAGACAAGGCTAGAATAAGACTATTAGATTATTTTTCCTTTTTTTCCGCTTTTCTTTCCTTTGCTTACTTGCCGGGTAGGGATGCTTTAGAAATGGGGGCTCTTCCGGTCATTGTCACCTGGAAGAAGGAGGCATGTGAGCATACACGTAGATGGGGTTTCGCAATGGAGCCTTTTAGCAGTTTTAAACCATTCCAGAAACAGTGTTTTAAGGTCTTTCAAAATACAATTTGTTTAGCCTTAGGCAGCGGTGAAATGGAGGAACCGGTTTTCTCAAGTGCTTTTGTATCTTGTTAAGCAATATAGCAACATCAAAAAAGAAAAAAAAATTCCTTCAGTTGCTGACAAGGGAGATATTTAGTTGAGGGACTGAAGGCAGTTCTGATTTCTTCAAAGCAATAGAATTTTCACTGCAAAACTCTTGCTCTTTCCGGAGAGTTTGGCTGTGAAACTCTGCATCCCTTCCTAAGCCCAGTTGCATGCTTACTGCGGAAGTAAAACTCCAGTGAGCAGAGAGGGTGACTGTCATGGAGCCCAGTCCCGCTGGGGGCCACCACGTACGCTCCACGGAGAGATTCTGCCATCTGAACACCACTCTTAGGAAGCCACTTGTGAGGGCATTGTATTTAATTCCCCCCTACACTGAAAGGATGTTAGAGCTGAAAAATCACCATGATACTCATTTCTCTTAACAGTATGTATTTTGATGGGAGAGAGTTAAGGGATTTATTTAAAAAGCCCAACCAATCCAAACAAAACCCTCCGTCGTTAAACAGGGACTGCTGATGGCACCAAGGCTATGGGTTTGGATTTGTTCGTTTCCTATTTCCTCTTAGGGCGATGTAACCCTCCCCAGATATGAGCCACAGCGAGACTTCAGTTCGCTTTTTGTGTATCCCATGATATTTGGCTTTATATTTATCCTTTTGCTAGATTAATTTTAGGGAATGTATTTGTTTAACTATATTATGCTTGCAAGAGGCCCCCCCGGTACATTAGACTTGTAAATGTTATCAGGTAATGTAACTACAAGTAATTAATATTTTTTAAGAGTATTGGCATCAAAATGCTAATAGGCAACAGGAAACCAGCTGTAAACTCTAATGCTCAGCTTGCTTTCAGCGTGCTGCAAACTTGCCATCTAAATCACTATTTTTAGGGAAAG